CTGGTCTGGCTCCTGCTCTGCTGCTGCCAGGTTTGGGTCTCTGATTCCTCGTCTCTCTCCCCGCCCAGTCTGAGCAGTGAGGTGCCCAGGTGCAGGTCTGCTCCCCGTCCCTGCACCCCCCTTCCCTGTCTGACTGCTGGGAGCCTGGCCTAAGCCCTCCGCCCCGATCCCCATGCCGAAGGCCAGTGGCCCCGCTCGGCGCTGCCGGAGGACGCGGGAGGAGAGCCAAGGCAGCCCGGAGCAGCAGCACCCTCCTGCCTGGCCCGCTCGGGCTCCTCCCGGGAGAGACGAGGTCCGCGCTTCGCAGAGCCGCTGCGTCGGGAAGCTCCTGTCCCTGCTCCCCCGGCAGCCGGAGGGAACAAGCAACATGTTCGCCCTGTGCGACACGCCATTAAACCCCGCTCCTGTTCAGAGGGGACCTTTGCAAAGGAGCGACCTCTCCTCTTTGCAGGGACAGGCTCAACCCCACAGCAGACACAAGGGCCGGCCTGAGCTGAGGCCAGCGCTGGGCTTGGGGCTGTGCCCATCTCCGATTGCAGTGGCCCCGGTCTGCGGGCAAGGGAAGGTGAGGCGCTCTGCTCCCCGCCGGGCCCCTGCCACCTGCAATCGGGCTGTGGGGCCTGGCAGGGGATTCGGGATCGCTGTGCCGTGTTCTGGCGGGTGGTGTTTGGCTCACGGGCGCAGGGCAGCTCTGGGTTATGAGCAAGATGTTTGTTAAATGATCACAGGACTGATCACTGAGCCATCACAGTGTGTTTAATGTCAGCACTTGGAGACCCCGGGGCTTATTCTGTACTACACAGTGCTGCAGCTCCACGTAGCAGCCCCCAGCATCAGCCTGAGGCCGACTTGTTCCAGGGGTCTGGGCACCGGCCTGGGTCCCAGGAGCAACTCATGGCTGGGCCTTGATGCTGGCTGTTTGCCGCGGCCCCCTCAGTCAGGGCAGCAGGACGACAGAGCAGTGCCGGTCTGTGCCCAATCTGCCAGCGCCAGGGGCTGCGGCCTGCAGGGGTTTAGTCCGTCACGAGCCCTTCTGTCTGCACACTGCTGCAGCTCTCACTTGCTCAGCCTCATCCCTGCCCCGAGGAACCAGCGCAGTGCCTCAGTTTCCCCCACACTGACATGGGGACACTCCCTGCCCCAGGGGGCTCTACAGGATGAACCTGCCGGTGAGGTGACATGCCTGGGTGGAAGGAGCTTGGGAAGCACCGCACTTCACTATAACCAGCAAATCCCCACGATCTGCTCAGGCCGCACGTGCGCTGGGCAGAGCGATTCACTGGGGCGGTCTCATGGGGCCGGGCTGGGGCCAGGGCCAGGGCAGCGCCTCGCACCTGTCTGCAAGACTTGCACGCCGGTATGGCGCTGTGTGCGCAGAGCACGGCCGGTCTGGGGGCGGCAGTATCACGGCCCCCCTGGGGCTGGACGGGGACACGTTGCCTTCCAGACGGCGGCCCGCCAGTGCTCTCCCTGCCGCCCGCCTTCACGGGCTCCCCTTGCCCTGGGCCCGTCACACGTGTGGGCCAAGCTTCCAAACATGAAGCTCATGCCAGCGTTTCTCCCTGCCGCACGGTGCCCCTCAGTCCTCCGCACAGCTGCCTCCCACGTCGGTGAGGCCAAGACGCTGGGAGGGGAACGGCTGAGCAGGGAGTTCCCGAGAAAGGAGAGGTCCCGCCGCAGACACTTTCTAGGAAGGAGAAAGAGGAACAGTGACGCCCTGTTGAAGGTGCTTTCTGTTGAGACCCATGCCGGTGGGCTCCAGCGCGGACACCCCCCCCGCGAGGAGCTGCGAGTCCATTGCACCAAGCCCAGATTTTCCCATGCGGGATCGCCCCTGCCGTGCAAAGCCCAGGCACAGACGTGGCTCTCGGGAACAAAGATGCATTGTACGCCCGCGACCAAGTAAACAAGAACATGCCTCTGGACCCTGGCCAGGAGGCCAGAAGAGTTGAGCGGGGGAGCGTCGGCTTGAACAGTTTTCAAAGCCGGAATTTAAATAAAAAAAAAAAGAAAAGGAAAGAAGAAACGATCTGCTCTGCCATACGGCTGGCATGTGATATGGCTAGGAGCCAGGCCCGTTTCCCTTCACCTGTGCTGACCCTGACAGCGAGGGCTCCGAGCATTGTGATCAGCCCGTGTGAATAACTCCGTGTTCTCCTCCGGCCCCCAGCTGAGGACCTCCAGCACTGTGCCCTCCTAATTACAGCTTACAAAGCCCTTGCAGAGCTGTTGGCATCATCCCACTTTGCAGGCGGAGGTGGGCCACGCCATAGGTTGCAGAGCAAGGTGGTGAGCCAGAACGGAGCCCCTTCCCCACTCAGCTCTCCAGGCACCGATTCACCGACGGGGCGGCGGGGGCAGCTGCCGAGCCAGGAAGGTGCTGACCCCAGCAGAAAACAAGGGGCGGCCAGGCAGCAACCTCACCAGCACTGCTGAGCGGCCACGCGTTGTAGGCTGGGAGAAGCCGTGTCCTCGAGGCCCCTCACGTGCAGGCGTGCTCACGCTGAGCCGTGCAGGAGGCCGAAGCCAACACGAGCAGACGCCAGCAAGAGCCCAGGCAGAACGTCTCTACTAAATGTCAACTTTTATTTCATTCAAGGCAAAGCTAAATAAAACTCTACAGTGCAAAACGTGTTTTAAAGGCAACACACAGGATGTCTGGAGACACCCCGTGTCTGTTTACAGTATATCCTATATGCATAACCAGTACACCCGACGCACGCCCGGACGTGCAGGTCTCTGTGCACGCGTGCGGACAGCGGGCACCACACAGCTCAGGATTTTGTGCCAAGGGGGCATCCCAAGCATGCCCACGGCCAGGCTGCACGCACCCGCACACCGCCGCGGACCGCGAGAGTCGTGGGTCAAGAACTGGTTGCGTTAAGTTTTCTGTCAAGCCAGAGGAAGAGTCCATGCATAGTACAGCGTTGCATATCATGTGGGGAGTGGGACGGTGTCCTGATCCTGATTCTAAAAAAGACTGACAGGTTATGGCCGCTAAAAACAGTTCTTTTAAAAAAACCTTTTCCTCCCCTAACTGTGTTCTCCCGTGAGAGCTCTTCTTCAAGGAGGGGCCGGGGGCTGCTGGGCTAACTGGGAGATTGTATGCCTTTCCCACTAACGTCGCATGAGTGACAATGGTACTTTAATAATACTTTGCATTTATACAGCGCCTTTCATCCAAGGATCTGGGAGCCCCTGACAACCAGGACGGAAGCAGCCTCCCCCCGCCCCTGAGGTAGGTCAGTCTGAGCCCACGGGACAGGCAGGGAAACTGAGCGCAGAGAGGTCGAAGGATGTGCCCTGGGCTCCCTCCGGCTCCCAGTGGCACAGCTGGGGGCAGAGCCGGGCTCTGGAGCCCCAGGCCCTGCTCGAGGCCACAGACACGCTGCCGCCTGCAGCGCACTCGTGCCAGGGCCGGAGCTGCCTCCCTGCGACGCCCGCTCCGGCACAGCCTCCCCACGCACCGGTGCCACCACGCAGGGCGCAGCTGCCCACTCCCCTCCGAGACCACGGCTACGTGCGCGCTGGCACTGGGCACTGCACCCACGCCCTGTCTGCAGCCTGCACCCCTGGCAGCGAGCACCAAATTCAGTCATGAGCAGGGACTCGGGCACTGCCAGAGACAAGCGCCCATCCTAGTCCCCTCCTGGACAAACAGCATGTGGCCTTCCTTGTGGTGCGCACAGCCCACGCTGCCCTGGCAGGGTGCCCGGCTCCGGGGCCAGCTGGCTGCTCTTCCTGCCCTCGGGCTGGAGACCGAGCCCCCACCACAGACCCTCCCGCGTGCCCTTTCCTCGCTGGGACGCCAAGACCCATCCCTGACTCCCGACTCCCCCGGGTGTGGGGATGCGGAGGAAAGAGCCTGCTCCGGGGTCGCACGAACATGTATGCACGAGCGATGAACCCAGCAGCTGACGACATTCAAGGAGTAAACCGGACTTCGGGGGGATGCTGTTGGCCTAAATTTTACCTTCAGAAAGGTTTTAATTCCATCTGGAGGCGAGGCCGCTGGGGGTGGCATGGGGGTCGGGGTGCAGGCGGAGGGTTATTTGCTCCTTCCATAGTTACACAAGGCTTTCCCAACTCCCTGCAGAGGGGTCGGAGGATCTTTTGCCCAAGACAGAACCGCCGTGCCCCGGCGAGGCTGCCCTCCCGACCCAGCTGGCAACCGGCTGAGGGAGCTCTGCCACCAGCCGCGCAGGCCCGGGCACACGCCGCGCACGGGCACAAGCAGCCATAAAGTCCCCGGCAGACTCCCCGGGCACGCCAACTCGCCCAGTCCGGTTCTGCTGCTACAGGCCGGGTCGGTGTCCCCGGCAGGCCCTGCGGAGCGGGACGTGGGCCTCCCCCCATGACAACAGTCCCCTGCCGGGGCTGGGTGTGGGATGGAGCGCGAGGCGGGTTCGGGGCCGGGCAGACAGGGCTGCAGAGGAAGCAG